TCATTCATTCATTCATTCATTCATTCATTCATTCATTCATTCATTCATTCATTCATTCATTTTGTATCACTGCCCATCTCACCAAGTGACTCTGGGTGGCTAAATAAATAAATGAATAAATAACATTTACAATAATTGAAAAATTAAAGTACATAGCAGCTGAGAATAAATAACACATAATAATCACTATTTTAACAAAGAAATAGGTTCCTGAACACATTTGGGGTCCCAGGACTATGGCTAGAGCCAGGTCTCTAAGGGCTTACAAAAGCCAGCAAGGTCAGGACCCTCCATATCTCTGCAGGGAGAATGTTCCATAAGTTGGGCACTACTGCAGAAAGGGAATGTGTTCTTGGCACTGCCAACCAGCATTCCTTAGCCAATGGGACCCAAAACATGCCCATCCTGCCAGACCTGATTGGATGAGTAGAAACAACTGGGGAGAGAGAGTCCCTCCAGTAACACCTGGAAGCACACTGGCAACTAGTGCAGCTCACGGAATAGACATGTTACATACACCAAAAAACTGGAGCAATTTACTACATGTGCTGCTGCATTCTAGCCCAGTTGAAGTGTCCAAATGCTCTCCAAGGGCAGCCCCATATAGACCACATTGCAGTGGTACATATAGGAGGTGACAAGGGCATGAGTAACATGAAGCAGGGCCTCTTGGTCTAGGAATGGGTGCAATTGGTGAAAAACCCAAAGGTGTGCAAAACCCCTCCTAGCCACAGCTGCCACCTGATCTTTGAGCAGGAGCCGTGAGTCCAGGAGGACCCCAGATTGTGCACTGGGTCCATCTGAGGCAGTACCACCTCATCCAAGACCTGCTATAGAAAGTCCATGGCACCAGAGGGTCCATACACCCAAAGCCACTGAGTCTTGCTTGGGTTGAGCTAAAGCCTGTGGTGCCCCATCCAGGCTCCCACAGACTCCAGACACTGGCACAGGACATCCATGAGATCACTCAGGCAGCCTGGGGTGGAGGTATAAAGCTAGGCATTATAAGCAAACTGGTGACATCCTCACCGCAAACCATTGGATGACCTCACCCAGTGGCCTCATTTACATTTTAAACGGAAGGGGAAAGGGAATGGGCTCTGAGGCCCCACACAAGGTAGGACTTATGGACTGGACCTTTCACCTTCTATTAACACTGCCTGGAACCAGCCCCAGAGGAAGCAGGAGAACCAACATAGCACTGTGTCACCTGGAACTAGTCCAGAAGTATATCATGATTGACGGTATCAAAAGCTGCTGAGTGGCCAAGAAGAGGTACGATGGATGCACTACCCCCATCCTGCTCCTGCCAGAGGTCATCCAAGCTGCAGCATGACCACTTTCTCTACAGACTTACTTAAAAAGAGAAGGTTGGAAACTGAATTAAAACTGTCCAAGCTGACTGGATTGAGGGATGGCCCTTAAGAGCTGGTAGTAGCATTGTGGTCCCCGAGAACAGCCTGCCCCTTGTCTCCCATTATACCCCCCCACCTGTCACTACAAAGATATTGTAGCTTGCCCTCATCCCTTCAGAGACTTCTCCCCTCCCTGCACAGATTGGTCTATGCCTAGGCCCCTCTACGTTCCTCACAGAACCATATCACTCACACAACCAACAATCAGCCAACCAAGAGCCCCCTACAATCAGAGGCACTTCTGCAGAGCACTCAGTAGGTCCAGCTAACCAGGGAAAACCCTAATACCCATATGCCTTCATGAAATGCCATCAGCCAATGTCCTCTCACTGGACTGGTTAGCGGCCCAGATATTCACAATCCCAATGATCCATAGTCCCCTCTCTCCCAGCTATCAGCTGTGGAAAGGTAAGCAGAATCACAGTCCACAATTCCTACTTGATGACCAGTCCAATGTCCAGTCAGAATCCTCACGGACAAAGCCATCTTCAGTCTCAATGACTTCCACTTGAGAGCAGCCCACACTAAAAGGGCTGTTACAAGGTCCCCTCCAGCTCCCAGCCAGGAAGGAGGCAAGATGGCTACCCAACTGTGTTGGGGAGATAGAAGTTGCAGCCAACTGCCCCACTCCAGCCCTCCCTCTTCCATAACAAAATTCCCCACCTCCACGCATCCATGATGAAACAAAAAGACTGCCCCCAGTTGGTCTCCTTCAGCACTTTCATCTCGATCCAGAGCACATGTCCCCTCTGCAAGTTGATAGAGTGCCTCCTCCATCATCACCTGCACCAGCCTCCTACCTATTGCCGCGTTGCTGAACAGTTGAAAACGCATGGAGCATTCCCAGCGTGAAGCAGCTGATCTGTGCACCCAGCACTCCAACAATCCAGCCACCACTGGTGTCTCCAGTCCCAGAAAACTGGTCCTCCAAAGCATGACCCATGCAAAGAAGGGAGAAAGCACTGGGAGCAACATGCCATTCTGTCTCAAGCTGCCAGAAGGGCCAGGAAGGGATACACATTGCGTGGGCAAGCCAGAAGTCTG